TTTTTTTTTTTTTTTTTTTTTTTTTTTTTTGGTTTTTTTCGTTAAAAGTTTTATACGCATCAAAAAGTCTCTACTGTGACTGTTGGTTTATCGGGGGGTTTCTTCGGTATTAAACACTTATTTCCTTTGCTTATTTTAGCGCAAAATTTTCACTCGTCTTTTGCAGAACAGAAAAGAAAATTTATTTTTTCCAGTAGATTTTCAAAAAGTTCAACTTCTCAACATATACACACATTTTGTTGCAAAATAGTTTTTTTAACGTTCTTTTTTTTTCTTCAAATAACTATCAAATTACTGTTGCCTTAATATTGTTGATAAGTTTTGATGTCTTAATTGTTACACCTGGATATCATTATCAAATTTCTTTGTCTTTTTTTCCCGTTTTGTAAACCAATCATTTTTTCTGATATTGTAAAGTGGAAACTTAAAGTGGACTAGAATTTGCTTCGTGTTTCCTTCAACTTTTTTTCTACCCACTCCCCCCCTTTTCCCCTCTTTCTTTTTCTTCTTGACCTTCCTATCATTTCGACTGCTTATTCTTGCTTGCTTTTTTTTTGTTTTGGTTGTTTTAAAAAATTTAAAAAAAAAAATAAAAGAAAAAGAAAAGTGCATTAAAAAAAACATCAAATTAAAATAATTAAGAAAAAAAAAGTGGTTATTGTAACTGACGTGAATCAGATGAGCTTCGTAACGGCATCGAACTGTATTCAGGACAGATGCTTCACTTAATTCAGTTAAATTGCACATATCCTCGCAATAATAGGATACGCTTGGTGCCTGCGTATCCTTTTTGAACACTGTTCTCTGCAATAATGTCTCTATAAAAGTAGAGAATTCTTTCCTCTTATTGCAAAAACAAAATTAATATAAAATATAAACAAATAAAACTTTGAAAAAGTATAGTTAATTTGATTGAAAAACCAAAAAAAAGAAATTTAGACAAGAATCTGTCGTTAATTGCCTGTATAAATAAGAACTTTTGGTTGAGAACGGTTCAAAAAATTTTCATAAAACTAAAATACCTTTTCATAAAAACCATTTTCATCTCGGAATCCGACAACCAATTTTTCACCTTTATCTTCAACAACTTTGGCCAACCGATAGACAACATCTGGATCTGTTACCCAAACTGTTGATTCCAGTTGTTCTTGTGGTACCCGATATACTGCCGGTACTTCAAGATACCTATAACAGAAAAAAAAAACAACTGATACCGCTAAACAGATTTACCAACAAGGCAGATATTGGCCAAAATGTTTGCTACTTATTAATTAAACCACTATAAAAAACTAATTCACTCGAAAAAAAGTTGACTTTTTAAAAAAATAAAAAAGACAGAAAATTCTTGAAAATTTGAATTTTTTATTTATTATTTTATTCAAACATATTCGCTCTTATGTATTTTCTCTTCGCTATTTTAAGATCCAAAAAAATAAATCAGAAAAAGGCGAAAAAGAAGCAGAAGAAGAAGTAGAAAAAACCTAAGCATAAAGTAACGCAAAAATAATAATTGAATAAATAAGTGATTTAAAATTATTTGGACTTAGAAAAGAAGGAGAGCGGAATTGGAAAAAAGTGAACAGCAGAAAAAAAAACCATTTTTCCAGATCTCTTTTTTTGCAGTTTTTCTTTCAAATACATATTTTGCACATTTTTATGATCGTAGGAAATGCATCCAACGATTAATTTTCAGCACACAAATACACACAGACACAAAAACGAGACAAAAAAAGTCAAATTTTTTTTTTTTGGTACTATAGTTATTAAATTTTTTTTTGCTTTTCTTTCGTTTGACATTCTGTTTTTGTCTTATTGCCTCCTAAAACAAAGTTCAGTAACAGCTGCTAAGAATGAAGTTTATTTCAAAAACAACAACAGCAACAACAACCACCAGCAAACCGCTGTAACAATTTCTAGAACCACCAGCAGCACCGCAACAACGACAACTATAACGGAAACAGAATCTAATTGTTACTGCTGCTGCTATTTTTCTTTAGCTAATTCCACCTACGAAGTACCTAACCGTATTTTTGTATATTAATAGGTTTGTTCAGTCTTATAATGGCATCAAAAATACCTTAACTTTAATAGTTTATTTTTTGTTCAAGAAGAAATTACTGCTTTTTACAATTACCTGTTTTTTGCAAATTATAAAATACTGTCAAAATTTCAAATATCAGCAAGTAAAAATAGCCCAAAATAAACTGTAGAGAACAAAATAAACTAAATAAAAAAAAAGAAGTAAATTAAATGAACCGGCAGCTCAGATGTTTGTTTCAAGTGCTTACAGCTTTTTGATATACAACAAACAATCACAGCGCTGTCTATTTAGTTCTCCCTTCTAACCGGTCTTCCTGTTCACCTGTCTTTGGCTGCCCTTCAAAGCAAAATTGTGTCCAATTGCAACTGTTGCGCTGTTCCCCTGGAGAAATGAGTTGAAAACTGTAACTTCGTTGCACCACTGCAACATTCATGTAAAATTTTGAAACTGTAAAAGAGACCAGAAATGAGCAACAACAGCAGTGACGACAACAACGACCAAATTATATGACCGGGTAAAATGTATACAGTTACTTTTGCTTTAGCTTTTTTTCTGGTAGTTTAGATGCTGCTTAAAACGTAGTTGTTGTTAAACGTCAATTGCTGCTTTTGCCAATCCGACTTAATTGGTAAACTATGAAAGACAGCAGATCAACGGAATGGTAAACATTACTATGCGGTAAAAAGTAAAACAACTTTTTTTCTAATTATGAGTATAATTAGAAAAAAAAAGAGATTTAGAAAAAAGTTTCTGTGATGATTTATACCTGTTATACTTTCTCGAAAATTTAATCAACTGTCTTTTTTTTGCTGCTTCTGCTGTACCGCTGCTGTTCCGTTGTTGATAATGTTTTTTATTGTTCGCTCATATCAAATTGTCTATCCTTTGCTTCACTTTTTTTTTTTTGTTTTTCTTTTGCTTTTTTTTTTAATCTCATCTATCATTTTCCCAAATTTCCTCTGATGCTGAATTTCTGAAGTACTCCTTACGCATACTACAATACGCATAACATACCCACACACAAATACACACACACTGAGGAGAATAACCTCAACTAACGATTGGTATCAGTCGACCAAACTCATTGGCTGACTGACTCCAATAGCCCGTAATTATTGTTCTTTTTCTTCTGATTACATTTCACTCTGTTCTATGTGCCGCTGTACAACGAAAAGAAAAAAAAATTAGACCAGTGGAAAGAAGAAAAGGAAAATGTACGAGAAGAAAGCAGGAAATTAATGTTGCAGACAAATAAAAAGAATAGAAGACGAAAGCAGAAAAAAAAAACTACCACCCAAATTATATTTTAGTTTTTTGTTTAATATTTTAACTAAAAAGAGGAATTTTTTCTTGTAAACAGTTTTTAATTCATCAATTTGTCTTTGGTCTTGCTAAAATAAAGTTGAAAAAATTGGAGAAGACAAACTCAAGTATCAATTTAAATTAGCAAAAGAGAAAAAAAAGGAACTTTCTTCTAGCTTTCAAACTTTTGGACAACCATCAGTGTCACTTTGTTGACCAAAGTTGTTGTCCTTTTGCTGTTGTTGTCTGATGGCTTTCAGATAGACAAGAGTTTTAATTCTCAGTACCGCCAATCAAAGGATAAAAGCATACATTACAACAGTCTTGTTGAAGCACTTAAGTTCACTTCCGTTTCTTTCAATTTTTTTGCTTCCCATAGCCTCCCGAGAAATTTTCAATCTTTTGTCAATTAGAAAAAATTATTGAGTTAATGACTGACATGTTGGTTTGCAATTAAAGATGTTGTTTTTTGACGTAATATGAAGGCGATTCTGAAGGTAATTAGAAGTTTCAATACCGGTAGCAATGAAAGCAGAGATAAACAAATAAACAGACTCCCAGAAAACAACATTCTACAATTTCACAAATTTATTGTAAATAACCGAACTAAAATTATTACAATCATTTGGTTTCAATAATTTTTCCACCTATTACCGCTTTTTATGCAAAAATATTAAAAACTAGAAAATTTTGCAATAACCAACGACAAATTATAATTGGAGAAGAGCGTGGAGAGATAGGGATTCAGGGAAGAGGAAGAACAGGGAGGAGAAGGAAGAAAAAGAAAAGAAAAATTTGCTGTTAAGTAATGAAGACTGATCAACTTAGTTGCTTCTGCTTTCACTCCTTTTCTTTTTTTTTTCCGCTTCTTTTACTTCCCTCCCGACCAAATTCATTCAGTTTTAACCGAGACGGAACAACAAAGTTTTTCCAAATCTTTTCGACAAACACTGTAGTTTGCCCGTCCAATAAACTTTACTCATTCACCTCAATAACAATTAAGACAACAAATAAAGAAGAAAATTACACTATAAATCATCTTCAAAAAAAAAATGGCAAGAAAAAGATTAACAAAAGAAAATATTGGATAGAGATAAGGAATATTATATGCATTAAACACATACACATACAAAAAAAAACCCATTCTGCTCAAAGATCAGTTTTAAAATTGGAGTCAAAATTTCTGTGGAGGTGTCGGGAGATGGCAAACAGACGACGACCGAAAAAGCGGGTACGCATAACAGTAAAAAAAAAAAGAGTAGAAAGAAATCGTATCCAAATCAAAAGTGCTGAACATTTGAGAAAGAAAGAGAAGAAAAAATTAAAAAAGACAGAAGAAAGAAAAGAAAATATAAAAAATTAAAATTGAAAAAGTTACGAAAAAAAAGCAAAAAGTTAAATTTTTTCTTTTACTCATTTTCCTTCCTCTTTTCTTTTTTTTTTTTTTTCTGAAAAATTTAGTTCCACCTTACTATACTATTAAACTAATCGTTTAGCAATCAAAGAAACAACAAAAACAGAAAGAAGAACTAAAAAAAATAAAATATTAAAATAAGCTAATAAAAAAGATTGAATTATTCACATTTTTTTGTGATTTTGTTTTTCGTTCATCACTTCAGATACACAGATCTGAATGATATCGATATTTAATTGCACAAATATTAACCGTTGATGATGAGAAGTGAGTGAATGGGAAAAAAAATGTTCCGTGCTTCGTTGATTTTCCGTTCATTTTTTCTACTACCCATTATTAACAGTGCTTTTTTTCCTCTCTTTCCTGCCTCATTATAGACATTTACACAAAGAAACAGAAAAACAAAAAATAATAATAATAATAGCTGCAAAAAAAAGAAAAAAAAAAGAAAAGCGAAGCAAGAAAAAGAGAACACATAAAAAAAACATGAAAAGCTGTTGTTTCCAATTAAAAACAAAGATCTGCGTGAAAACTTATCTGTTACAGTATAATAAACCTTTTTTGGTGGCTGTCTGTAAAAAATTTATCTTATAGTCTTTGCATTCCATGTTCAACCTTTTTCCACTTCATCGGAAGTACCAGTACTGCTATCCACTTTGTTGTTAGTAAGCAAGTAAATTGGCCAATAAATGTTTGAAAATAAAAAATAAAGCAAATGAAAAAAGACATAAGTTAGAAAAAAAAGCATGAAAAAAAGAAAGAAAAGTTGCAAAATAAAAAAGCATTACCTACTATACTGCTGCTGCTTTTGTTCGCTGTTTGGATTCCACATATTGCAGCTCTATATTTATTTGTTTGAATATTCCGAATAAAAGAAAGAAAAAGTTGGAGGTCTTTTTTTTAAAACTTTTTTTTGCCTATTTTTTTACCTTCTTCTTTTTTTGTTTCTTTCCAGCTTTGTTGTTGTTGTTGTTCTTTACAGTGAGTGCCAACTGAAAATAACTTAATTTTTTTTTTTTTTGTTTAACGAAGACAAAGACAAAAATAAATAAATAAAGCAAAAACAATGAAGTTATAATACCAACAACAACAACAACAACAACAACAGTAACAGTAACAGTAAAAGCAAAAAAATAAATTATAAAAACAGAGGAAGAAAAAAAAAAACGAAAAGAAGAAGTTAACTATCTTTTTTCATTTATATATACTGTTTTTTTTTTTTGTTCAGTCTCTTGGACTAAATGTAACTGTCTCTTCCCTATCGTTTTCTTTCTTTCTTTCTTTCTTTCTTTCCTCACAATTTTTCTTCTACAGCTTTATCCACAACCCCCATTCGCAGTCAAGAAACATAACTCTGTGGCTGAATTGAAGACTTAATTTTTTTGTTGAAAACAAAACTGTTAAAGAGAATAAAAATATGTATAAAAGTAGTCACAGAAAGTAGTCTTCTTCTTACATATTTAATGCTAACAAAAATTTTGAAGATGATTATGATGTTGACGGTGATGATGATGATGATGATGATGAGAAATGATGATGAAAATGATGACGAAGATGACGATGATTGGTAAAGATGGTGATGATGACTGCTTGGTGGGGAGCTCACAAAAGTTTTGTGGCATCAATAAATCTTTTTCCTTTGTAAAAAGTTTGAAGAAAAAACTGAAATTGCTTACAGGTTATTTCGTATATAAAATTTTTTTTTGAAATTCTTCTAATAGTTTAAAATAAAAGAAAAAAAAATCTTGTAAATGGAAAATAATTGGAAAGAAGAGAAAGGAGAGAGTTACAGGGGAAAACGAAATGGTGAGGAAAAAATAAACAATGCAAACACACATACATATATACAATAAATAACACATCGGTGATACAGCAAGTAAAATGGAAACAGCACACATACTCAAACACTTAAACACGGTTAATACTTCAAGTTTTTTTCATATTAATCTAATTATAATGATTCTTGTAAAATCAATTTTTCAGGTTTTTATTTCCTTTTCAAAACTGAACAGAAAGAAACCTTTTCTATAAATAAATTTAAAACGAAAATGAATGTGTGGAAAGCATATAAAGCAGTGCTGGTGTGGTATACATCTTTCTCATCGTTCAGATTAGTAATTCTCAAATTTTGGTGAAATCCACCTTAACGGGAAAGTTAGACAATGTCGACAGAGCAATGAAAGCCTTGGGCAATGGTTAAGCAGCTCACGAACTTAAAATTAGATTCAAAAATTGGAACGAATTTGTAGAAGTACTTTAACAAGCATAGCTTACACAGTTCCAAAAACTGTTTCAATTTTTTATGCTAAAGTTTTAATGGCAGTAATCAATTATGTTAACAGTTTTTGCCTATTCCGGGCTTAATAAAATTGAATGGAAATATTAAAGTAAGGAGATACTGATAAGACCAGATGAGACAGAGAAAGGGAACGATTTGGTAGGGGGTCACAATAAAATTCCCTCCCTAAAAAAGTGGAATTGGTCAGAAAAAGTTGGAGAAACATCAATTTTAAATGATGACTACGACAGCAAAAACAACATCGATAGTATGATCAAAATCGTCTACAAGCA